TTATTATTATTATTATTATTATTATTATTATTATTATTATTATTATTATTTTTATACTATTTGCCGTAGCCTTAGTCTTAGCCTTAGTGAATTGTCAATCAAACAGTCATGGAGTTGGTACCTCCATTAGTCTGAATAGTTTAGCATCAGATAGTCAAGCGATCCCTTAGTTAGCTTACCGAGTGCTCAATTAGTCAACCCATCAACCCATCAATCAGACAGTTTTTAACTGAACCAGTCAATCAATAACTCAATGAATTTACGGATTTGTGAATGGATTTTAGAGATTGGAAATAGTGTGATGGGATGTGGGGAAGCTGAGGCAGTGTGGTTAAACTATTTCCTAGTTATTAATAATGGCGAGTGAGATTAACGCTTTCAGATATTTTATAGGACTTTCAAGACCATGTAGCTTGATCTTGCAGGAGCTCTAAATCTACAAAAAGGCATTTTCTGAAGTGCAATTTTTTTAATTAGAGACTCTAAGAGACAGAAGAGAGACTTTAATTAGAGATATATACTAAAACTTTGGTTACTTATTAGACTTTCCAATACATTATCTACATATGTATATTCTATGGCTTTTCCACTTTCTCTATTCAAATCCTTTCACTAATTAGCTTTAGCCTGAATTTTAACATGAGCTCTAACATGATCTTTACCATAAGCTCTAACTGTGCTTATAGCCCTACGATATTTGTCCAGCTCCAAATTAAAATTGACTTGAACCATAACTTGCCACTAGAGTTAACTTTAACTTTAGCATTGGGTTTACCTTGAGCTATAAATTGGTTTACGATAGTTTCAATTAGTTCCGGATTCAGAGCTTTACTTTTAACATTTAACTTTAACATGAACTTTAGCCTGAGGTTAAACTGTGTATTCGCTTGTTGCAGTTCCTCGGGCGGCTTCTACACGCTGAAGGAGCACCCGCACCAGCATCAGCATCAACACTACCGCCATGGCCACGGACTGGGCACCGTCTCCACATCGCAGCGTCTGTTCGCCAGCTCCGCGCCCAGTGGCACCGTTATGATGTATCCAAATGCACAGCGTGCGCCGGTGCTGGGCAATGCCGCAGCAGTTGGCGGTGCAGCGGCAGCAGCAGGAGCAGGAGCGGGAGCAGGAGCTGGCGCAGGAGCTGGAGCACAAGCAGCTGCTGCTGCAACGCCGCCGGACATCTCGCTGAGGCAGCGGGCGGTCGCTAAGCTGCGCATGTTCAACTTTCACCTTAACTGGGATCTGCACATGACGCACTGCAAGCCCTGCGGGTGAGTTTACGCCGTGCCCCAAAATGTTACCCATTTGCCATGAAGTTGCCAGTTGCCAGTTGCCAGTTGCAAGTTGTAAGCTGCAAGTGGGCAACAACTGCGTTGCCAACACTTGAGCCTTTTCCAGTGGTTTGTGGCTTTTGTTGGGCGTCGCTGAGTTTTTAAGCTCTTTGTTATACCCTCTACATTAAACCCAATGAGTACAGGGGGTATGCTACGATGAGGACTATTAAGCCTAGGATATGAAAGCTTCAGTTGGGTAGAGCTCTACAACAGTTTTCTCATTTATCGATTAATATCGATAGTGATTTTCTAATTCCTGGTTTGTGGCTTTTGTTGGGCGTCGCTGAGTATTTAAGCTCTTTGTTATACCCTGTACATTGAACCAAATGAGTACAGGGGGTATGCTACGATGAGGACTATTAAGCCTAGGATATTAAAGCTTCAGTTGGGTAGAGTTCTACAACAGTTTTCTCATTTATCGATTAATATCGATAGTGATTTTCTAAGTCCTGGTATTTACCCAAGCAGAAAGCTTAGTTTAGTTAGAGCTTATGGACTCAACAGGGTGTAAGAATGTCCTGTTCAGTTCCTACCTAGATGGAACGGCATGTCCATCATATGGATTCGAACTTTACTCAAGCTGGGCCCAAACTTAAGAGAGCGTTCTCAATATGACTTGGTTGCATCCATTGCCTCCATTTCAACTCACAGCTAGCTACAGGGTAACCGTAAGTCTTTCATCTGTCCGACGGCTGGGTAAAGCGTAATGCAAAGAGTTTTTACTGGCCAAGGAGTAACTCCTAGTCGATCATGATTGCTTGCTCGACTTTGCCCAGTCTGGAGTCGAGTGAGTCGCTCAGTCGGTTAGTTGGCTTCATTGAAGTGTTACGAGGGGTGTGGTTGTGGCTGGGAGGGGGGCGGGCTAGGGGCAGGATGTAGGTGGGCGGGGTCATTTCGTTGAATGAACCCAAATGCAAGTGAAAAACTGGGTCGACGACATTTCTCGTGTTGGCCAACTTTAAATGCTGCGGCTTTAACCCGACACCAGGTCGACACCAGCCACCGCCACCTCCAGCTCCACCTCTAGCTCCACCTCTAACTCAACCACCACTTTCAGCTCCACCTGCACCTCATTTCTATATATTTTTGTTTCTCGTTTTCAACACGGCCTCCGTCCCAAATGTGTCAAATTTTAATGAAGCGCCCGGCCTAACGAGCTTCTTTGCCAGCTGCTGTTAGCCCCAAAAGCCTTTTTTTTTTTGGCCAAAACTGAAAGTGGAAGGCAGGCAGGGGCGGGGGGCTGCTTTAGGCCTCTGCTGACAAGCAACAGCTATAGCAACAGACTTAATGGTCTGACACGGAGCTGGGAACTAACTACCTGCCTTCGCCTCCTTCTCAATGAAAAAGTAAACAAACTAGCTCAAAGCTAAAAACTTTGGCTATACGATAATTAAATACGATGCAAGGTGGATATTTGGTCATTCTAGTCACTTAAGTCAAGAAATGCAACAGAAGTCGGCACAAGTTCAACTCGAAAAGGAACTAGTTCAGCAGAGATTATTGAGCTAAGAAATCGTAGTTTCCTAAAATTGTTCGTTTGCTGTAGGTAAAGCTGGGTTCCCTTGAGTAAAAGTTTGTTCTCTAAGAAAACTAGTTTCATTTAGCTTAAGAATTAGTTCGGTACAGGAAACTAGTTCACTTCAGAACACTAGGTTAGAGAAAAACGATTTAGTTAGAGGTTAGAGTTGTTTGCCAAAAAGAGCTAGCTCTGAAAAGAAAATTTATAAAAGGTTCATTGCTTGAGCTGTAAATAAACTAGATCTATTTAATAACCGCACTAGAGGTTATTTAGAATAAAGAGCTAGTTCTGAAATGAAAAGTCATAGAAGGTTCGTGGCTTGAGCTGTAAATGAACTAGATTTATTTGGTAACTGAACTAGAGGTTATTTGGAAAAAAGAGCTAGTACTGAAAAGAAAATTTATAAAATGTTCATTGCTTGAGCTGTAAATGAACTAGATTTATTTGGTAACCGCACTAGATCTATAGTCAAAGCAACGAAATGTCTCAAAACTTACAATTCACAGTTGAATGTGAACTAGCTCAATGTAATTGAGCTATCCAAATAGAGGTTATTTGGAAAAAAGAGCTAGTTCTGAAAAGATCAGTCAAAGATTCATTGCTTGAGCTGTAAAGGAACTAGATCAATTTACTAAACGCACTAGATCTATAGTCAAAGCAACGAAATGTCACAAAAAACCGAACTAGTTCAATGTAATTGAGTGTGTGAATGATGAAAGTACTTGAAGCTAAAGAAGATCTAGTTGCATTTAGTTTGTTGTTTCTGTATTAGGTATACAAAGGTTTATCTAATCTGAATTGGGGGTTATTTTAGAACCTCATCAGGAATTCAGATTGAAACAGGGCTAGGTATAAACTAATTGGAATTTAAGTAGTTTTAGTTAAATGCTAAAAATGATATTGACCCAAGAACGTACGAATGGAAAAACAAACAGAGGGTAGGCTAGACTTAGGAAGCCGGACGGAGTGATGGACCGACGCGTCGGTTACAAAAACCTAGCAAAGACACAATGATAGACGAAAAGGTTTTTAAACCTTGAAACAACATTTGACTTTAGTGTCATTCTATAGCACCTTGAAATAGTTAGAGTTAAGATGATGAAAACTACTCAAAGTTGAACAAAAGTTCACGCACAATAGATGAGGCAACGATGGGCTCTTGCGGTTAACCCTTTGACTTTTGACAATAACAATAACAATCAATGAGCTCTCAATCAAACTTATCTCTGCTCTATTCTATTCCATTTGGCTAGGCCTCGCTTGAGTGGAAGTGGAAATATAATAACACGACGGCTGTGCCGCAATCGTCGACGTGAGGACAATGAGCTCTATCGCTCGAACAGCTTCAAGTTTGAGCGGTTCGAGCGCAAGGAGTGCCTCGAGGAGCTCTCCAACACATTGCAGAAGCAGGTGAGTACAGTTGTGTGCAAAAGGCCAATGAACTAGACCGGTCCAAACAATTAGAGAGCGACAAACGAAAAAAAAAAAAAATAAGAATATTAATAAGTAAATGAGAAAGAGAAATCGAAAGCGAAAGCGAAACAGACCAAATCTCCCGCTGGGCGTAATTTATGCGCATTTGTTGTTGGACTTACCTTGCCACATGTTGCATGCTGCTGCCGCGAGCCATCCATCTAGCTGGCAATTTTATGCGCATAGATTACAACTAATTGAAGTGTCGAAGAGCTGACCCAACCCTGAAGCTACGCCCAGCCTCGACTCTAATTAGAGAGCTCCCCAACCTCCCCCCCCCTCTTTAAGTTGGCCAGCTGCAGTTCAATGAAGCAGCTCCAAGAAAAATTGCATTATGTTGAGAGACCTGGGGGGAGCCTGACTGGCTCTGACTATATCTGTGTGGGAGGGAGGGCATCTGTCACAGGTGGCGCTGTGCTGAAACTTGTTCAGCCGAAAGTTTCGTGCGGAGGGATGGGAATCTAATTAATGGCGCGCTACAAATTGAATTTTAATTGAGCGTCGAATTTGATTTTGCCCCTCAGGTCCTGCGAGATCCTGGCGGCCATTTGGCTGAAGGTGTCTGTCGATTGGAATAGGGAAAGTGGGAGAGGGGGATGGAGGGGGAGGAGGGGGAGAGGCAGATAGGTAAAGTGGGGTGTGCGATGTGCCACAGCTGATAATCAAGTTAAATACGTTTTTGGGCAATGACTTTAGATAGGAGCGGAGAGAGGTGGGTGGTGGTGGTGGGGAGGGAGAGAGAGAGAGAGAGAGACGCAGAAGTGGAAAAATAGACAGAGACTTATAGTTAGAGAGCGAGAGATAGATATTGATAGAGATAGAGAGAGAGAGAGATAGAGAAAGAGAAGAAAAGAGAAAGAGAGTTATAGTTGGAGAGCGAGAGATAGATAGTGAAAGTGAAAGAGAGAGAGAGAGGTGAGTGAGGGAGAGAGAGAGAGAGACGCAGATGTGGGAAAATAGACAGAGAGTTATAGTAGAAGAGCGAGAGATAGAATGATATGGGATACGAGATTGAATGCAAGTGAGAAAGAGAGAGAGAGAGAGAGATAGTGAGAGATAGAGCGATAGTGAGGGAAAAATGTGAGGCGGAGGAAAGAGAGAGCAACGCTAGAAAGCGATAGTAGAAAGTGAAGGACGTAGAGAGGCAAAATCATAAGAATGGTGAGAAGAGAGAGAGAGAGGAAAACGATAGAGATGGTAGCGGAGAAACGAAGATGAGAGAGGGACAAAGGGAGGAGCTCCTCACTTCTTTCTGAGTGAAGGATTATATAAAAGAAATAACTAAGAGGAAGTGAAGAGAAACAGAGAAAGAGAGAGAGAGAGAGGGAGAGAGAGAGAGAGATAGTGAGAGAGACAGATAGTGAGAGAGACAGATAGTGAGAGAGACAGAGATAGTAAGGAAAATGACAGAGGGAGATAGAAAGAGAGAGAGAGAGACAGATACAGAAAGAGAATGAAAAAATAGAAGAAAGACATCAGAAAGAGAGAGAGAGAGAGAGAGATAGAGAGATATAGAGGCAGAGAGAGAGAGAGAGGGAAACGGATAAAGGCAGACATAAAAAGAAAGAGAAATAGAGACAGAGAGGGAAAAAAACAGAATCAGAGAGAGAGAGAGAGAGAGAGAGAGAGAGACAGTTAGGTTAAGCTAAAGAGAGATAAGCATATATGTAGAGAAGCAATGATCAATCTATGGTGATGGGAAGGGAATATGACTCTGTTCAATATTCTAGATTGCTTTCTCTATCAATAACTTTCTTTCGCAAATGCATTTGTATACGATTTGAACACTTGGGGGAAAAAATGAAGAGCGGAAAAACTGACAGTTCCATAAGGAAAATCAAAATCCTGGCAGTTCCAATAAAAACTCAACCAAGTTCCCTCCAGACCCACTTAGACCCATCAATACCCACAGAATGCGGCTTGCTTCGTGCTAATCTCATCAAATTTTTAAGCGATTCGCTGCAGTGGCCGACGGACAGACGCTCAGACAGACAGACGCTGGCCCGTATTGACAGCTCTGCTGGCTACTCCCTAATCTCAGGGCCCGGCCTCGAGGCCTCGCCTCGGCTCGACGGACAGACATCCATTTGTTAGACGAAATGTTTTTGAAGTGCTGCGGTTTTCGCTCTATGTGAAACTTGTGTTTCGTCTCGTGGCAGCTGTCCGACAACCATGTCGCGCCCCACCCCGCCCCGCCCACCAGCCAGCCGCCCAGACTGCCCGCTACATGTGCAACATTTGCACCTTCATCAAGACATTTTTCGTGCTATAAATAAATAAAGCAACAAAATTGTTTGCTTCCCCTTCAATTACGCGGTGGAAGCTCGCAGGCTGCCACAGTTCACAAGAAGTTGTTCTGATCCAGCCGAAAGGGGGGGCGTGGCAGCGTGGCAGCGTCACATTAGCAGCTTCATCTGCGCTTAGATTTATGTGCTCGACGGCGCACGGTTGACATAGCACCTGTCTCAGCTGAGCTGCAGCTGTCTTGTCCGACCTGCCAGACACTAATCATGCCAAAGTGCCTGCCGCAGACGTGTCTGCCAACTTTTACCCGAACCACCCACAGCCCACACAGGCGACCGCCCACCCGCCCACCTGTCGCTGTCAATTTGATTTCGCAGCCATTGGAGCAACATCAGCAGCCGCCGCCGCAGCAGCCCGGCCAAGACAAATGGCATTGGAATCTACGTTGGCAGCTTAAGTAGTTACTAAAATGCACCAGCTCGAACTTGGCTAACCAAACGATAATGCCACTCCCCTTCACTCCCGCTATTTAACAGCGAGCGCCCTCAAAGGTATGCTATGAAAAATGTTCATTCCTTTTTGATTTCTTTTCAAGTCATAAGCGCGTCTCTATTAGCATAGATCATTTTTCATTTGGGTCTTCAGAGTCTGCTTTAATCAGTTGGATGACAGTTACGGGGGTATACAAAGGGTCTACTTACATATATCTAGTTACAGTTAGAGCATATACCAAGTCAGTATTGCTCATACTTTGGTTAAGGCTTTGAATTTGCTTATAAAGTATATATAAAGTACAGTAGATACCAGATCAAGGAGCTGACGATTTAGTGTCGTAATATACGGAAGATGTTATAAATCATATATGGTACCAGATATGCCCTGAATGTTTGTCGGAGCCCGCCAAGCCATTGAGATCTTGTCGCAATGCCCGAATGTACGCTATAACCGGTTTCTACTGTATACGGGTACAATATAATCCGGATACTACTATATATATACAGGTACAGTAGAATCCAGATACTACTGTATATATACAGGTACAGTAGAATCCGGATACTACTGTAGAATCCGGATACTACTATATACATATACTATACTATACATATACTATATACTATATACTATATACTATATACTATATACTATATACTATATA